AAAAATTCAGCGCAACTCCGTTTATCACCAACATGGATCTAACCAAAGGATACTTCCAGATACCGCTCACAGAACGTGAGCAGAGGTATGCTGCATTTGTGACGCCTTTTGGGCCTTTCATCCTGAAGAAAATGATGTTTGGACTCTTAAATGCGAGCTTCTGTTTTTGTAAATCGATCGCTCAAGTTTTAGGAGGGTTGGATCATTTTGTACTACTGTATATTGATGACACTGCAGTCTTTTCGACGAATTGGGAAAGGCATATCTTCATATGTCGCCTTTTAGACGTCTTGGGTCGCCTTCAGGAGGCTAAATTGACGGTTAAGCCCTTAAATGCAAATTTGCTCAAGACCATGCAAAATTCCTCTGCTATAAGGTAGGGTCTGGGAAAAGGTCGCCTAGTGAGCCCAAAATTCAGGCAATCAGAGATTTTTCGACCCCCGCTACTAAAACACAAATACGTAGCTACATTGGTACTGTAAGCTACTACGCAAGGTACATAAAAGACTACGCGCATATTGCGGTACCTTTGACAGACGCTTTGAAGGACAAAAATAATAGAGAAAAAGAAATTTGGACAAAAGAGTGCGACGATGCTTTCAACGAGGCCAAACTAGTAAAAAGGCCGGTTTTATTTGCACCAGATTATTCTAAAGAATTTTTTGTGCAGACCGACGCCATCTTATATGGTGCAGGTATTATGTTGTCTCAAATTCGAGATGGGGAGAAATACCCTATACCAGGGGTGAGATGTTCGTTCTCGTAAGCGTATCACTGATGGTACGCAGGAGAAAAATAGGTGGTATGCAAAATATTTTTAACTATTAAATTCCAAGATTAAAACCCCAACATCCTGATTCAGTTTCTTCTCTAACACTCGTAAAATTATCTGATCGATCTTTATCGATCTGAGCTTTGTTCAAGAGTGGTGGTGGCAATAGTACTTTGTAGTAGTGGTACTAAAGGTTTTCAATTTTTGTTTAGATGGTACGCGTTAGTCAAAAGGTTGAGAACCGCTGCCCTATACTGTATCTTAGTAAGAAGTTTTCTAAAGCTGAGCGTAATTGTAGGATCATTGAAAGAGAACCAGCGGCTATTATTTATGGACTAAAGAAGCTAAATCATTACTTAGACGGGCAAAATTTAAGATCCAGACGGTTCATAATCTGTTAACCTTTTTAAACAAAATCATGGGTTCAAATTCTTGTTTGACTCGCTGGGCATTGCGTCTCCACCAGTACAATTTTGAAATTGTTCGTAAGCCAGGCAAATTACACGGCAATGCGGATGGCTTGAGTCGTGCCTTAGTCTAATAGCTGAATGTCATTAGTGGAAACAATGTCATTGAAAAAAATTTTCCTTATGAACTGAAAATTAATGACAATTTTTGAAGTTTTCTAGAATCATTTTTTTTTTTTTTTTTCAATTCAAAATTGTTGGAATCGTGTTTTTCTTTTTAAAAATGGTTAGAATCAAATGTTTTTATTCTAAGTATTAGATTTTTGTAAAATTTGAGGAAGGCTCAGATTTGAAGGGGGAATAGGAAATCTTAATCTCCAAAACTAAGAAATGTGTCAGGGAAACAATAGCAGTAGTTTGAATCTTTTTTTTATTTTTTTTATTTTTGCTTTTAAGTTATCTGTCTCAAGGTGATGTTATCTAGAAATAAATGCAGGTTAAAGTAACTGGCTTCCCTATAATCACTTAAATGGTTACCACTTGAAAAGTACTTTGAATTTTCCTTTTCATAGTCTAGGAAAATTCTTCTATGAGGGAGGAAATGTGATAAGGTCACATAGAGGTTCTTCGTCTAGAATGAACGATTTTCGAATGCAATGGTACCTCTTTCAGACCATGAGAGAAATCCTTGTGCTGCGAGGTGCCTTTGTTAATGAATCCGGTTGCAGTCTCGAAGGTCGCTCCAACGAAAAAAAGGAATAAAAGAAGTCTTTTCATCAGGATCAGAATGTGGACACCTTTGTTATGAGTAAAAGATCTTCTGCTCCCCCCAGGAGCAGGTAACGACACCATGAGTTAGAAAAGGATTTAGCAGCGAGGAAGTAAGGTTTTGAGTAGCGAGAACATGAGGTGGTCAGGACTTTCCTGCTGAGATGAGTCAGGACTTCCCTGCTGGAGCTATGGGCATTTTGACCCGCTAGAACTATTACTCCTCGTGTATACCGTTAATAGTGCACTTTCCTGTTTAATAACTTTCTAAAATTGCGGGACTAAATGTATCCAAGTCCCACATCGTCATGAACCGCAAATGTTAATGTTTTTATTTTATTAAAATTCATGTTACGGTTAGAACTTGAGTTAGTTAGAAGTTCATTTCAACCCTGTATCACAACCGGGGTTTTGTGTAGCGGCTTCGACCACTACCCCACAATATAGACTACTTTTATTTACGCAAGCAGACACGCTTATGTTCAAGAACTATCAAAGGAGCGGTTACTATCGAAGGGATGACCCTTACATTGGGGAAGGGGAAGTTAGAAATGATTTGAGCAAAGTAGTAGAGCGGAGTATTAGGGGGCAGAAAGAATCATGAGAGGAAGGCTGATGGAAGACTCGCAGTGGGTTACTGGCGATAAGGAAAGGAAATTTGAGGAGTAAGAGCATGGTTAGATGGAGTTTTAAAGCAGATGTGCAGTTGCGAAATCAAATACAATCTAACATTTTCTGAACACGACACCTTCTGATATAATTCTAGCTGTCAACCAGAATGTGACAGTAAAACTGTCCTTCGAAGTCCGAGTTATAAACTGAGTACGAAAGTAAGGTCCTGCGCCAAGTGAAAATTTTCGTCCTGCGCATTTAATGGCATTTTTCAAAAAAATCCATTTCCAGTACTTTCGGGAAAGAAAAATTTACCCACCGTCATAAATTCATTTCACTTCTCGGAAAAAAGGCCTTTAATATGTGGGTGGGGGCTTGCGAACCAAAGCTTACTTCAAATGAATTATAACACTACAGCTGATGGGAATAATCGCATGCGACTATTTAATCATCAAAGGATTTGTTTCCCAGAAAAAGAAAGGCAAATGTTCAGAAGCTTAAATTGTTTTTTAAGACAGATTTATTATTAAAATAAAATTTTCAAGCTGTAAAGATTTCTCTGCTGAAGTTGTGCTTCAGGTACATAAAAGAAGTGCCGTTGCGCTCTTTTTTAAGTTCTCCGGTGAGCTTCGGCTATTATTAAGATTTATCTCAATTGAGAAGGAACTGGAGCTGAGTTCCGGCGCAATTTAAGCTTTAGCTACGAGCATACTTCACAGACAGGAATAATTCCCTGCTGCTACCCTTCTCTTTCCACCAAAAAGAGGGGTAGCTATGTCTATTTGAATATTCTTATGTATTTTTTCTCTTCGTATCTAGTATTAGCTCATGTTCTGTATCTTAATTTTCTTGTAATATCTGTTGACTGTAATTTAAAAATTTTTGAAGTTACAGGATAATGTATAGCTTTGTTGAATGATTTTCTGTTCTTGTTGTGACTCATCTTGCTTTTCTGAAATTAGAAAAATCCCTCTAAATTCAGAGTGGCAAGGAGGTAAGATTGCGCATATCGTTGGCAAAAGCCTTGGGCAACATACAGGTGAGAGTGCTACTTGGCTCAGTTCCTCCCCCCAATTTTGAAGGAGAACACCACGGAGTCCGAAGGTTACCACCCCTCTTCCCTTACGACTAACTTCTCGACAGTACTTTCACCTCGCCGCATATTTTGAGTGTGTCCATTCCGTACAGCCACTATACATTTATAAACATCCATGACTTCTCCAGAACTCGAACCCGGGCCTTTTTACAAATATACTTCTTGTTAATGTTATGCCAATATAGTGTTCTGCTACACAAATGTATTAACTTATATTTATTTTCATGCCTTGCTTTTGACTGTATTCGTCTGGAAATGTTAATGTAAATATTTTCATGTCTGTATTTCATCACTGTATATTCTGCTACATTTTGTCTTTATAATAATAATAATTTTAATAAATAATAAGTTTTATTATCTATCAAAATTTTCTGTACTTTTTGCTATTTAATTTATAAAACATACTAAAAAATAACATAAATCTAAGTTGCATATATGTATTTTTCAAGTTTTAGAAAGGAGGGAAAGGGATGATCTGTTAGAGATTGTAAAAGCGGTGTATGGGGCAAAATAGGTTGAGAGCCACTGATCTAGGTACTGCATAGGATTACTATACTGAGCGCTGGAATCGCTGATACTGAGTTTGTTGTGACTAATCTCGCTTTTCTGAAATCAGTAATGAACGGATCCACGCAGGTTACTTCAATTCTTCATCATTTGAAAGGTTACTTTAAATGAATTACACCATTTCAGTTGATTGGAATAATTACATGTGACATGTATATTCCAAATCTTTGCTGTCTCGTCCTAACTTTAAAATCGATGGACATAATAAAATTATGCGAACATTGTACGAAACCTGTGCGGAAAGCTTACACACAAACACACACACAAAACAAATAAACAAAAATGTAATGAGCGTAATTTTTCTCATAGCGGTAGGATTTGATCGTGGTATGGCTTGGGCCCAAGGCCCAAGGCGTTTTGCTTCCGGAGTACCTTTGCAAATAAATGCAATAACCTCCACAACTTCGTTAAGAAAATAAATTGAATAATTAAGAGTGAGCATAGCTAAAGTGAGGAATGAAACCGTTAAGGGTTTAAAAACCAGAAGTGAATGAGAAGTCCACTCAAGGGACGAGAAATTCCTTCATCTTTCAATTTCGCTTAGGAAGGGTCAATGACCTCAAGTCGAAGAAGAATGCAGGTATGGCTTCGGTGCCATGAAAGATGTTTATACACCGTAATATGGCTTTGACGGAAGAATACCTAAAAAATATTTCAGATATTCTATATTATAAATTTCTTAATGAAATTTTAAAATGACCAGTATTTTATAAATTCATTTTTAGACAATTATTTAATAAATACATAATAAAGAAGATAACAAAAGGAGAAGCAGACGACTCCATTGTTCAGCATGTACACAAACAAGTAGTTCCTTTCGAATACTGGTCTACTGATGATTATACAAAAATGCTTTTGTGAGAGAGATATTATCTTTGCATGGTTTTGACGTCATAGCAACTTATCTTATAGTTCGAGTATAGATTACAAAGTGTGCTTTTTTCTGCGGCTAACGTATGCCGGTAAATAATTCTATAATGGCTACTATTGTAAAGAGCATTAATTTCGGCTTATATTCCCGAGCGTTAGTTTTTCGGTTAAAAAGAGCATATGATTGTCATTCTGTTAAAACGCTTAGATGCTTTTCACAGACACATTTTCAGTTATCTAGTAAGTGTGTAATGTTTTCTAACAAGCTTGGAATTTCGAAAAGTAGCCTCTGAGTATTATTTCATTGCTATACATTATCCGAACGTTTTGAAAATACTTTGGTTATTAAAATTCTGAACTTTATATGTTTATCAATTCTATTACAACGACCTACTAATTGCCTAAAATACTGTATAACCGAATGTATATCTGGAATTAATGTAAATTTATATTGTTATTTTTTAATATTTTGGTGTGATTTCTGATGCATTTTAAAGCCTGGAATTCTTTTCGTTCTAGTTAGCGAGTGTTCCGTGGAAGTACAACCAGTTTTCCATTATAGGTTTATAGAAATCTATTAAGAGAGAATGTATTTTTTATCTTTAGTTTCTTAAAGGTTTGCATTGCTATACATAGTATGGTCGTTATTTAAATTCATGCGTAACTTCACGAAATAATGTATATTTTAATGATTACATGTTTAAAATATAATGATAATAGTACAGATTAGTTATTAAAAGTACTTTTACAAGAACATTTAAATAGCCTATTTTTGATATTATGTACTTCTTATTGTTATATAAAAGAGTCTAATGAGACATTTTGTTCTTAGTTATCAGTCAGATGAAATTTTATAAGATCCTTTACTAAGTTTCACATGAGTAAACTATTTTGGGCCTTTTGAAATTTTATCTTATGCTGAAAGGAATGTATGCTTTGTAATGTGATAAGCTGGCTTAAATTGCAAGATGTTGGTAATATATATATATATATATATATTTAATTTAAGCACAGCATGGCAACATTATGTGTTTTATCGAATTTAAAATTTTAGGTTAATACATAATTCATAATATTTAATGCAAAAATGCCATTTGAAGTCAGTAAATGGTATGATGTGTGCATGTTTCCAATAAAAGAAATCTACATTCTGAAAAAATGAAATGTTATCATAAAAAATAATAACTTAGAAAGAACATTACATGCAGGTTTTTGCTTGAAACATTTTTGCTGTGTAAGAAATATTGTTAGATGAAGTGAAATTAGAATTTGCTTGTTAAACAGTAAAACAAGTGTTTTTCTTCAGAATGAAGTAATAATCTTTTAAAAGTGGTTTACAAGGAGAAAAATTTTGCAAAACTTTATGGGAGTAGCTTATTTAAGAAATATAATAGCAATATGAATGAAGTAGATCCAAAAATGAAAAACCTTATATGGTATCAAACCATTGTCTTAAGTGAATATTTCACAATGATGCATAATTTTGTATGGTAATAAAAAGTCTGGCTTCATAATAGTAAGATCTCCAATCATGTATCACAATATCACAATCATTGGTCCACTTTTTAGGAAACTTAATAAAAAGTGTTTCCTAAAAATAGATGTTTTTTTTTTTTTTTTTTTTTTTCCATTTAGACAAACCTGTTGAATCTCGGGAAATTTTTGAGTTTTTGAAAAGAGCTGTAGGAAAATGACATCTCAAAACAGTCTAGGATTTGTATGAAACATTTGTTGGATTAATCTTTTAAGAAAAAGTCTTTTTCCTTTAAGAAAAAGGCTTAGAACATGTATCGGAATTATGGATACTGTTATCAACTTTCTGTAGAACCAAATAATATCTAATAAAAACTATACTTGAGTCATAAATATTCAACACATGATTCATTGTAATAGTAATTTGATATAGTTCATACTCCATGTGATTCACTATAATTTATTACTTATGTAAAAATTGATTTATAATAAATAGTGTATTTTAATTTCTTTGTAATTAGAAATGCATACAATAGCAATGATGATGCATTAGTATGAGTAGTTGTGTACTTACTAATAGTTGTCAAATGTTTGTCATTGATTTAAAACTATTTCCTGATAAGGTACTTTGCATGTACACTGTTTGTGAATAACAGTACAATGTAATGAAGTAATTCTTTTCAAAATTCAGTTTAGGTTTTTTGATTTTTTCTGATTATTTACATGAAAAACCCTAAAAGGTAAGGCAATGCACTATGTCGCTAAAATGTATTTGTGCCAATCCAGGTATTTGCATAGCATCCACCCCCGAGACTTCTGCAAAATATTTTCTTGGCATGATTGCAAATTAAGATCTCTTGTAGAAGAATTTCAGTGTTTTAGCATAGAAGTAGTCTACACATGCAGTTTTCAATGTCTTTGGCAGAATCTTGGCCTTAGCTTTCTGCATGCATAGTGTGAAATGCTGCTCACTTAAAGGTATCGTGCATTTCTTTTTTTCCTTCACATTTTAGGATTTTGATCGCGAGGTTGTATATGATGCCAAGTTTGTGTAATGCTGTAATTTTTTTGACCAAATCAGATTGTTTACAGGGAAAGAACAACAGCAAAAAAACAGAAACAAACAACACACACACACAAAAAAAAAAAAAAAAAGAGGAAGTGTATGTGTCTTCTATTGAAAAAGAAGAATGTAAAAGAATAGATATGGAAAAAGAAGAATTAAAAAAATAAGTGAAACTGGATTCATCATTGAAATGGAAGTAAAGATATCCAAACAGATGTTTATCTTCAACGTGGACAATGAGTTTGTAACTTTTTTGTACAATGCAGATAATATCAGTTTTTTTTATTTAATGTTCAGTAGATACATATTTTTATTTAATGTTCTGTAGATTGAATGATAATTCATCATTCAAACTGAGAAGAAGAAAAAATTGATAAAATAAGCCTTTTTTTATAAATCAATTAATGAACTAAAAGAAAGAAAAAATATATAGTTTGATGACAACAAGAGTTTAAACAATTACCTTTATTGAATTCAGCTACAGTTTTATATCATGAATAGTAAGAGCATGGGCACCCAAGTAATGAAAACAAATTATCAAATTGCATTAGGAAAAGCATAAGCCATTATCCATGTAAATTTATCAAGTGTGCTCCACGTTTTTATTATTCATGATATAAAATTGCAGATAAATTTTATAAAGAAAGTTATTGTTACTTGCATATTTCATGATTGACCACGAAACTGTCCCAAGCAAGGCGAGTTTGTGCCAGTTATGGATAAATGATGTCCAACACACACATAGCATTTGTGCTTTTGTTTGATGTTACCTTGTTTGATTCTCGATAAGCCATTTTTTATTTTTATCAGCAAGTATATACACAGTCCAGTCACATTAATGTGACCACCACGTACTTTCCATGTCAGAGTTAAATAACCAATCACAGAAGGCAGGTGGCAGCACAGTGCAGTTGAGCGTATATAAAGGGTGTGTGAGGGCTTCGGAAAACATTTCAGTCGTTGGCGTAATGCAGAAACGAAGCGATTTATCCGACTTCCAAAAGGGCATGATCATTGGCTTTCGGGCCAAGGGTGGAAGCATTTCCGAAACGGCTGAGTTTGTGAACTGTTCGCGTGCCGCCGTGGTAAAAGTGTACCGTGCATGGCAAAATGGGACTGTCCAAAATCAGCGATGTGGCAAATGTGGTGCACCACGGGCCATAGATGACAGAGGTGAACGACGGTTGCGGAGATGCGTTCGGGCAGATAGACGGGCTACCGTTGAGCAACTGACCACCAAAATGAACCAAGGGGCTACCAAAAGTGTCTCCCAAAGTACTATTCAGCGAACATTGCTGCGTCTGGGCCTCCGAAGCAGACGCCTGGTTCATGCACCTATGCTGACTGCTGTTCATCGATGGCGAAGGCTAGAATTTACACGCCAGTACAGCAGCTGGACGTCCACTGAGTGGCGACAGGTTGCATTTTCGGATGAATCGCGTTTTATGCTCCATCGGACAGATGGATGTTGGCGTATAAGGCGTGAAACCTCTGAAAGGAACCACCCTGCAACCATTGCCGGAACGGTCCAAGCTGGAGGCGGGAGCATTATGGTCTGGGGAATGTTTTCCTGGCATTCTCTAGGTTCACTGATCATTGTGGAAGGCACAATGGATCAATACAAGTACGCATCTGTCCTTGCGGACCATGTTCACCCCTACATGCGCATTGTTTTTCCTCAGGATGATGGCATCTTCCAGCAGGACAATGCGAGGTGCCATACAGCTGCCAGTGTACGTGCGTGGTTCGAAGAGCACCAGGATGAGTTTACCGTCCTCCCCTGGCCAGCAAACTCACCTGACTTAAACCCAATCGAGCATCTGTGGGACCATCTCGATCGAGTTGTTCGCGCCATGGATCCTCAACCGCGTAATCTAGCGCAGCTGGCCACGGCATTAGAGTCGGCATGGCTCAACATCCCAGAGAACACCTTCAGGGACCTATGTGACTCTCTTCCTGCACGTCTCGCAGCAGTCCGCTCTGCGAAAGGTGGTTATTCTGGCTTTTGACAGATGGTCACGTTAATGTGACTGGACTGTGTAAATTAATCTTTATTGCTATAGTTTTTCCTTGTATTTTGGAAAAAAAAAAAAAAAAAAGATTTAGAGATCTGTAGAATCACATTTGACCAAATTGTGGTTCATTTACAGTTGGTTGAAAGAATTAACATTTATTGAAGAGGGGGGGGGAACGCCTGGATATGGCCGACAAACCAGTAATAGATTGGAACAATCACCTGCAGAAAGTTCGTACTCATAGTTTAGCATTTTAAACAGAGCTTTCAGTAAAATCTGAGGGCCTAACAAAATAATAGAAACCGAAGAAAGCCTTTTTGCATAGTGCAAAAACGAAGAGGGTCGAATACTTCATAGGAATGGCTGTTTGGTAGATTATGCAGAGAGATTGATGATGTCTTACTGTAAGAGTTACAAGTAGAAGTGCAGTTTAGAATTCCTCATGAGCGATTAGTAGAGCGATTTGGAGTGATTTCCCCCAACTTTCATAGTTTAATGGTAGCCAGGTTTCATGTTCAGTGGAATGATCGTGAAGCCTGGCTACCATTCAACTATGAAAGTAAATACTTCATGATCAGTGAATACGAGTACCAAATTATTTAATCTGTTCCCATTAAACTGTATGTTAAGTTGTTTTTCTTGTTTTGGATCATTATTTATTTTGAGTTTTAAATAAAAGCTTATTTTATTTTTAAAAATAATTTTCTATAAGTTAAAAAAGTTAAAAAAATTTTAAGTGTTTATTTTATTAATTATGCAATATATTCAGTAATCAGAGATAAGCCTTCATAACTCAGGCATAATTAATATATAGCAGAAATTGGAAAATTAATCTAAAGCATCTTTTTGGTGTAACTGTAATTTGACACTTATTGAACTGCTTTTCAAAATGCCAAATAATCTGTCTTCAGTGGCATTTTCATCTAAAATCATTTCTTTCATTTTGCTGAGTACTTAAATGTTGAAATTTGTAAGATTTCTTTCTCTTTATCTGAATGAAAGTAAAATTTGAAATCTCCTTTTCAGATCGAAAGTATGCTGAAAAACATGAATGGATTGTAACAGATGGTAAAATTGGAACCGTTGGTGTGTCTCATTATGCTCAGGTGTGTTTAAAATTTTGATAAAAATGTGAATTTTATGCAAGGCAAAATTAACTATTTTTTTGCCCTAGGCACTTTTTCCTGTTGTGCCACATAACCCTCATTCCCCAAAAAATTAGAAAATAAAAAAAATAAATAAAATATGTTCCCGAGTTTGTTAAAAAACTAATGCATGTATTAATTTATATTAAACATATTAATTAATATTATTAAAAAAATTGTAAATATAAAACAAACAATAAATTTTAGTTTCTATTCCAAAAGGAATAAAAATGTATAGATATGTATAATTTTGTTTTACTCTAAATATTGCAAAATTGGAAGTAAAAGTGCATTTGTTTGTATATCAGTAGACCATAGAGTTAGAACTGTTTGATTATATTTCATAAGTTAGAAAACGGAATTTATTTTATTAAATGTCAAAACTGGTTTTCAAAATTTATGAAATTAGTTCGGTAAAAATATATTTCAAGGTGTCCCTTGGCAATTTTTGGCAACTGGCCAGCAAGGCACAATTTCAAGATGGCTGCTACACAAAACCAAAATAACAACTCAAAGAATTGCACAAACTCAGTGTCCATGTACACATTAATCTATTTTCACTTCAGAAAAGATAAGAGAATTGCACAAACTTGGCATTGCGCACTCCCTTGACTTTATCCATGTACACATCGACCTATTTTCACTTTAAAAAAAATCAAGAAAATGATAATGTCATATAAGGTTAACCCATTAACCACCAAAACTACAAGGAATGATTCTTTTCTCATGAAAATAATAACCAATATTAAATTAAGCATTTATAATATAAATTTACATTGAAAATAAAAAAAAAAAATGCTCTTACCTGTGGAAAAAGCGGGTGTTGTGTTCGTGCAACGTCAGTGGAATAAGACTACGGATGTTTTGTGAGTAGGATTGTACTCGTGCGATGTTTCCTTTGAGTGGAGCACTGGATTACTTTTTAGCTGTATAACATTTTATAAATCTACAAATCATTACTTGTAATTAATTTAGTATTAAAATATACATTATATTTCTTTTACAAATACAGATTATTTCAATTGAAAGGTTCAAGCATGAAAAGCTTCACTACAATCATGATGTAAAGCTACATTACATACTTTGCATCTATAAACAGTCTAGCTATGGCACTCTTTACAACAAAGTCTTTTGTTATCATTGGACCTTTACAATAAAATGTCTACCATCTTCATGCAATGATATTTGAATGCTGAATTTTATTAGGTCTTCTTGTTGCTGATCTATTTCTGGCTAAATCTACACTATCAGTGTGCAAAAGGAATAATGCAATCTCGCATCTGAAATCTAAAAGAGACGTTTTATTTCCAATAGTAGAAAGTCGTTATATTTTCCATGCATTTGTCAAGGCAACATCAATGTAATTAGTAAATATTGGCGACCACCATTTTTTTGCCGCGAACTCTTATTCTGTAATTGGCTACTAAATTGTCACATAAATCGACTCCACCCATTTTGGCATTGTATTGTTCAATAAGATGAGGCTGAGATATAAAAACCTTTTTCCTTTGCATTTTTGAATAACGAGAAACATTTTTTATGGGTTGAATGTTTCCAAATGTTGAACCAACAGTTACAACCGAATTGTCGTTCCATCGGACAAAAATTATTTTGTTTTTCTCTTCATACTGGAAATCATAATAACCCCTATCTTTCTTACAGACACATTTCACAGTTTCTAGTGGGCACATTTGTATGCGGTTTTCCTGCATTGTTCCTGTAGCATTGAAACCTTTATTTTTAAGATGACAGAGAAGCTGAAATGATGTAAAAAAGTTATCAAAATAAATAGCATGGTTGGCAGGAGTTTCAACAACACTGAGCAAATTTATCACCACACTTCCTCCAAGCCCAAATTCCTTATATTCTGGTAATTTTGGAGCTGTCGACTTACCTGAATAAATATTGAAAGGAAACACATATCGATCATATGACTCCAAAGTCCATGCTTTGTATTTAAATCTTATAGGTTTCCCTTTTAAAAACATCTTTGCTGAATGTTTGCCATGATAAGGAATCATTTGCTCATCGATATTCAGAACGTAGGAAAATATACCAAATTGAAGAATTTTTTATTTAGTAAGTTTTGATATGGTCTCACCTTATATAATTTATCAGTATTGTCAATTTGACTATTGTCAGCTAAATGCAAATTCTGCTTCATATTCCTGTACTGCAAATGTGACATCGATTCTCGTACAATATTAACAGAAATGTCCTTATCAAGAGACCAATACATTTTTTCTTGAGGTAAAGCAAAAAGAAAATCGAAAATCTCTCCACTAGTTTTACCTTGTATTTTGTCTTTTATAGTTTCTCTTCTATCACTTTCTTCATTTTTTTCCTGAGACATAACTAACGGTTCCTTTTTTATCCATTTCAAGTTTTCAGTTTTCTGCTTTTTAAACTTTTTCGTATCACTACCACTGCTTTTAGAAGGCTGAAACTTACTTCTTACGTGAACTTCAACTTCCCCCAGCAGTATCATTTGGTAACATATCATTATTTAAAACATTGTCTTTCCCTTCTTCTTCTTCACTAGCTTCTGCAATTTCTGGGCAAACAACAACAATATCAGTTTCATTCTGGTCATTATTAACATTATCATCATCTGTTTCTTTATCAAAAAATCTTTGAAGAACTTCTTCGAACGTAAGATACCTTGTTCTAGGCATTTTTTCAAGCAGCCAAAACATGAACCTTAACATCGAAAGAAATGTGTTTCCTGCTAATGTTACGTCAGCGCAACACCTGTTTTCCCTTCCTTCCCAACATTAATATAAACATCTGATTGATGTACTGTTCTGATAAATGGTGACTTTGACTAAAAATAGATCACTCATATAGACTGCAATTCTTTCGTGAAATATTTTTGGCAAAAATACACGATCGAAAATTTTGCTTAAAGTATGAGATTAATTATTATAAACAAAATGATTGTTGAAGGCAAATATTTTTTTACAGAAATAATCTTCATAATATTCTCTACGCAAAATCCTCTGCTGGTATAAAATATCTTTGTAGTTATATTTATATATGGATTTATTTTGACTGTTGCGTCAATGCTGCACCAGCGGCTAATGGATTAAAACAAAGTTACTCATCAACAGAATTGAACAAAATTTGTAGCCAATCGAAGCTCAATAAACTGCATTTTAAATCACACAATGAAATAACATAAAATAGGAAATACATGTTATCACATATAAAAAAGGAAATATCGACTTACCATGTTTAGAAATTTCTGTGTCTTCAATCTGTAGCACACAAAATTTCTTAACAGCATCCAAAAACTTTTTAACATTATCTGAACTAGAACATGTATACTGCCGTCACCACATAAATTCACAAATTAAGAGTAAAAAATATCTTCCATAGTGCCGGCCTGTCGATGGCATTTCTTGCACGAACCTTTCTTGCGACGAACGCATAATCACAATCTTTTTTCGACCATATGCATTTCCTGTGTATAAATAGGACTCTTATAATGACTACTAAGTAAGCCTTCATTTACACACCAGTCAAATAATGCCTCCCTTTCATTCCAAACCATAAAGAAACTTCACATTAATCTCATCACATACAGCTATTTTATGGTGTACAGCACAAAATATGCAACATACTTCCTAACTGAAATCCAACACAGAAATAAGCCCTTACAAATATTTTCCCATCAGTCAAATTCACCGCAATCACACAACCAATCACCTCCTAACATTCAACTACACAGGCTACCATAAATGAAACAACAACTTAACGATAATCCAAGGGGCACTCTAAAAATACCATTCCCTGTATTATGCCTCACCTTGCAGTTAGTCAGAACAACACTGTTTGCATACAATGGAGACGTAGTAGATAAGAAAAGAAACCCATAGATTTTACTGAAAGTTTTTTTTTTTTTTTTTGATTTATTAATTATCTATGCCTTGGTGAAAAATTGCTAGCTGATTGGTAAAAAAAAATTATGGCTGTATATCTTTATGGCTGATAGGTACTGTTCTGATCATAAATAATAACAAAAACATTTTAATAAAAGAAAGAAAGGAAAACAGTTTTAAAGGAAAACAGTCTCTTATGTCTGATATTTGCATTTTTATAGATAATAGATGTCATTCAGCAAAATGACTGTTAATATATAGGTTGTAAACATGTATTCAAATGTGTCCATATGTATTCAAATGCATGTGTGGTATACACAAATGTGGATTAGCTATTAAACCATGTATATATGAAAATATGTCAGAAAAATGGGATTCTACCAAATTTTGAAACTGGCAAGTCCAGGCAAATGAAATCTTATTCATAGCTTCAAGTATGTATAGCTTCAAGTTGTTTATCACTGGATTATCAAATGTCTTGTGATAACCAAGTCTTAAAGGTTGTACTACACTAGTTCAATTTGCTGTGAGGAAAACAACATTAAAATTTTGCAAAAAATCTGTGGTTTGAAGATGGGCAGTATACTAATCCATAAAAAGTAAAATTTTGTGGTTTTGTCTCCTCATAGTTTTGTCTATTTTGAGCCATTTTGTAAAAATGTTCGTAGTCAACTAAGCTTATTTGCTTTGTATTGTAATAACTTGTTTGAAGCATCTTGGTTTTTATGATTTTCCTATAAGAAAAGGAGTCACTTTGTCCGTACCTTCGGTATTTGCACAAAGTAAAACAGTGAGACGTTCTTTACTTTGCTTAGCTACATGATACTTGTCATCTTTGGAAGCTAGATTTCTTGCAGGCATAAGTTTACAGAAAAGACTAGTTTCATCAACATTAAAAATGTCTTTTAATTCAAATACATCTGTTTTGATAGATAAATTCTTGAACTACTCTTTAACCAACCTAGCAGGAATGCTTTTTGATTCTCCGTTTATTATATGACGTGAGATTCCATGTTACAGTTTTTAAAGTGTCCACAAATTTCTCCACTTTCTTTAACTTTTTCTATCATAAAAAATTATTTTTAGTGTTATCACTGGAATATCCAGTTTCTCTGTTAACTGAACTTTTGTCAAACCAGTATTCTCATCAATTTCTTTTAAAATTTGAATTTTATCTTTTAATGAGATTGCCTTTTGCTTTCGTGAAATTTTATATCAGTTAATTCTACTCCACCCAGTTTACGTAATACAGCATCCTGTTCAGAACAAGAAAACATTATCGACTTTTCCTTCCAAGTATCTCCTCTGTTCATGAACTGGTTTTCAACTTGTGTATTAGATTGTAATGTCTCATGCTTTTGTTTCATTTTCCTATCTTCATTTATGGGAAACATCATTGAACAATGGGACTGTAAAATGTAAAACAATGCAGTAAGTCAAGCAAAAGCAAAGTTTAACCAAAGCTATGAAAGGTATAAAATAAATATTGTACTAAAGTAAATAGGACTGAATCGGGTCTAAGATTAAATGACGTATATAAATGTAAAAGACATATAAGTGGGGACCCACTGTATTTAAAATTTGCTTTGTCTGTATAATACTATTTAAAAAAATTTTTAATGAAGTTATAATACCAATATTAACTGTAAATGTTAACAGAAAAACATTAAATTTTAAGGATTATATAATCTTAGTCTGATGTATAAGTACTTTTCAAGTGTCCCTTTTCCACTTATTTAAAATTGCCCATTAGAATCACTCACACAATAAAATCTTATATTAAATACGGTATTTAAAATAAAATTAATAAAAATGTATGTATTGAGTACTGAAATATTTTGACAGCTCTGATCATACATCTATGGATAAATCATACACATTATAAAATTAAAACAGATCAACCTATGTAGTAATTCAAGTAGTGCTGATCAGTTTCTTCCAACTGTTCATTTTTATATTTTTTCCAACTGATCATTTCATATTTATTTTAAAAACTAATATAACTGTAAGAGTGGGTTTTTTTTTTTTTTTTTTTTTTTTTTTTTTTTTTAAGAAAAGGAAGTCTGTTTTTTGAAACTTCAAACTGAACATCTTTTTAAGTGGAGTAAAAAATTTAATACAAAATGTTGTCCTAATATTATATTCATTGTATATTTTAGGAAGCATTAGGTGATGTAGTCTATGTCCAGCTTCCTGATATAGGTCAGACAGTTGAAAAGGATGGTAAGTAACACAGCTAAGAATATTTGATTCAGTCAACCAACTCATTGGTGACTTTGTGATATGTCAAAAAGTGTTTGTTTGACTACCTTTACAGTTCACAGATATTATCCCATTTATAAATAATAATAATAATAAAAGCATAGTATGGTTGGTTTAATTAATTTCAAGGCACTCTACAAGTTGATCCATGTGAGATGTCCTGATGGAGTCCTGAAGAGCAATTTGGCTTGAAAAAGAACAACAACAAAAAAAAAAAAAAAAAAAGTGTTGCTGTAGGAGTAAATAATATCAAAAGAAAGGCTTGCAACACACCAATACAAATTATTCAAGAGGAAACAATGCTATCATACTGCACAGTCATTTTGTAATTCCTAGTCACCATGCTGTGCATCAGGTTATAAAAAGTAGTAAACTCGTAAAGAAATTTCTCCTCAGTCAACTACTTTGGAAAATATTGATATTCCATTAGAACTTAGGACTACTGGTGACAAAAAATTTCTTTAAGATAATCCATCCTTTAATAATAAACTCATACTAAAGCTCAGGAGCCCTTTCCCCTCCCCAAATGCATTCTGAAAGAAGCCCTTTATTGGATCTAGTCTTGGATGAGATCCATTCACACCCCTACTGGAACAGGTGAAAATGCAAAAGTGCTTTCTTTTTCTTATGCTTTGATGCCTAGCAATTCAGAAGATATTTATTCTAATTTATTTCAGTATTTGAATAACTTTACTGCTGAACATGACCTTGAATTAAATCCTCATTCCATTATCAATGATTTTGAAAGAGCAGCAATTAATTCTTCTAGTCACAAAATCCCACCAGTCTGCTAGTAAAGAGTTTTTTCATTTAGGGCAAAGTGCATGATGCTAAATTCACGCATCAAAATTAGCTAAAAGGTATGCTGAATATAAAAGTTTTAGTCTGAAGCTTTAGAGCATTCCAGTTTTTGCATTTCTTCCATCTGGTGATATTTCATCTTCAATTGATGAGATAAAGTCTCTTATTCCTGATGAAGCAAGTGTAGTAGTAGTACAGTGGTTTGAGGATAATTATATACATGGTAAAATCAGGAGGGATATGAGAAAATGAGAAATGGGAGAATTAATCAATGTTCTGCCTTATTTCCTCACGCTTTATAAGTCCATGAAAATGATCGAATAAATCATGGTATTCCAAGAACACAAAATCAAGTGTAAAAATGGCACAGATGTTTTGAAACATTTGTTGGAAAATTTCATGTTGGTGTTTATACAATAATTGATGAGCTTAAAAAGGAACAGTTAAAAGTGCAGTGTACGACAAATAATATTGTTCGTGGGAGTTTTTTTTTGCCAACCCACAAGAAATATTTTTAACAATTAAAATGCATTGCTACTGTCTTTAATGTCAGAACAAACCAAACAACTATAGATTTCTTATGTGACATTACACACAATATTGCGTTATAGACTATTGAAGAGGATGAAGCCTCAGCAGAGTTATCTGATACACATAAATAAATTAATTAAAATGCTACCCAGAAGGAACTAAAATTCTGAAGGTCTTAAGTTATTAAAAAAGGTTACTACTCTCTGTATATATCCTTCAGACAACTCAGCTGTTGGCCAAATAACATTAGGAAATCGAGCAGTCAAGCAAATGAGTGTCGGACAAATGTACCAGACCTCGAAGCAGATGGCAGTCCAGCTAGACCAAAGTGTGTTGTGTTCAGGATGAAATCTCAATTCAAACTGAGTTAGTTCTCAATGCATTTTGATTGGATAATTAACACTGCTCTAAAATTATTATTGGCTGTTTGAGTTTTAGTTCCATTTACATCACCAACATTATACAAGAATTATATCACGTGTATTAGTTTCAAATGATGCAGTGCAAAAAGAGATTACTATTTTTGGAATAAAGAAGCATATGCATCGAAGAGCTAAGTAAGTATTTTGTAGATTTGTCATTAACCCTAATGTTAATAACAAATAGTAGATAGTTGTAGTACCCTGCATGATCCATGGATAATGTCATTGTGTCCCTAGCAGGGTCCAGCTGTGGTAGTAATTTGCTGTCTGCTCTTTCCATACCAGCTTATGTCTTAAATCATTCTTAATTGTGAAACAGAATTCATGTGAGAAATCACCATTGACCTTTTCTAATGACCCCAGTGATGATGTAATTTGGCTTATATGATGGCATGATGATAATGGACTAGATCTTGACTAGCTTCCATGAATATAGAACAACATAATTTGGTTCACAGGTGATGATTTAAGGAGAAATGTAAGTACTTGTAGCATTGACAATTTCTGTAGATCTAGCATTTTTCATTAAAATGGAAAATAGTTATCATCTCATCTCCTTTCATGACTACCATCATGCATATGCTGAGCAGTTATAGTTTTAGAAGTTTCTTCTATCATGAAATGACATAATTTGATATCTAATGTCATTGCAACTTCAGTAATGCTTTGTCCTATCTCAAAGTGTCCATTTGCTTTCCATGATTGTGCTCATTTGGATGATGTCATAAAGGTGTTTTGCAGCTGATATTTGCTGTAAACAATATAATCTTTCTTGTGAAAATATATGGTTTAATCTCCAGAAAGTGTAAACTTGTATGCACTAGGACATTGTTGCTCGTTTCAAATTAACTGTAATCCATTTTCTTTTATGAAGACAAAACAATTTGTTTCACAACATTTTGCTTATCATTTTCCCTGAGTCTGTTGGGTGACCTGGCAAGGCAAAAACCAATTGTTTCTTACCAGAATATATATAATTGAGAATTCTGTTTGTGAGCTGTTTTGTTAAACTATTGAAGTTTCAGCTAAATTATTTTTGTTTAAAAAGGAATTCTTATATTCTAGGTGAAGCAGGAGTTGTGGAAAGTGTAAAAGCTGTAAATGAACTCTATAGTCCTGTTAGTGGAACCATTACTGAAGTAAATGAAAAACTTACAGATAAGCCAAGTTTGATAAATGAGTCATGTTATGATGAGGGTAAGTTCTCTAATTTCTGAGGTTAATTTTATGAAATGTTATCTCTCAAAGCTATGTTTGCTTTTTTCTAAGTTTTTAATTTTCTATTTTAAGATTATTTCCTATTTAAAATTTGCTTTAAAAATATTGTTTTTAAGCATGATAAAATTGAGTTATGTTGGAGAAGAAAATTCTCATAATTCAGATAATTTTGAGATTTTAATTGTGAAAATTTATTTGTTCATCAAAAAAATGCTTTTTTCAATATGTTAATTTTTAGATTCGGATTTTTTTCATTTAACTTTGTAAAATGAAAAGAGTATTATTGAGAGTAAAATATATGAGTAAAATGAAAAATGTGTTACAATGTATTATTTTAATTTAATTTTAAAATGCTGAAGTCACAATCACTTTTAATTAATATTTGTAATTGCCAATCAAAATTATCACATGGTTTCACTTAGTAGAAAACACTTTCCTCTTCAGTATTGATGTAGAAATTGATCTAAGGGGGGAAAAAGGTAATATTCAGCTCTAAGATTTATTTCTCCCATATTGTTAGTTATGGAAAAGTTAGTTATGGAGTTGTTATGAAAATTAAAAATGATAAAATTCTCTTAAAATTGAATTATATATACCATATTTTTGTATAAATCTAATTGTTGAAAATTGCTATACATTGTTATTTTTTAACAGGCATCCTCATTGTAACTTACTGCACAAGTAATAAATTCTAATTTATATTATAATCCTACTAAAAAAAATAGTAAAAAGAATTTTATTTCCAATTTTTATGCCATAAATTTTGAATTGTATAAATTAAAGCTGTTTGAGCATTTTCATTTATTTAGAGTTATCACACTAATTTATGTTCATTTCATTTTAGGTTGGGTATTTAAAATAGAATTATCTGATTTAAAAGAGTTGGATACTTTAATGGATGAAGAAAGTTATGAAAAGTACTTGAAATCCATTCACTAGCATTTGTAATCCTTCATAAATGAGTTTGTGTTCTTTCGCTGAGTTCTTAGTCATATTTCTTAGTCTAGTCAGACTTAAGTATTAAAAAAAAAAATCTGCCAATGTTTGTTAAAGCACATAATTTTTACATTTGATTTGTATTTTCATTTGAATTGAATAACTTTCTTATTATTTTGTGATTGTCTTATTTGTCCGTCTCATCTTCATTTAGTTAATGAGAACATGGTTGTTGTATCTTTGGCACTGTATGCATTTATATCTCTTTAAAATGGATTGTGCATATAAAATACTGATGAATTTTAGAGGTACTTGTCTAATTTTATAATGTGAATAAAATATTTCAATTACTCTATTTGAAGTCTTTTATTATTTTAATATTAATCATATTTGCCAAATTTTATGCATATATACCTTTTGCCTTTGTAATTATAGTGCATGTAGGGCTTTTTTGTGCATGCACATGATTTTAATTATTGTGATCGTAGTGCTGGTCATCCTGAAGATTTAAACACATTTGACTTTAATTATATTAAAGCTGCAGATTATCTGAATGTAACTGTGGATTAATGGCATCTTTATATGGTGTAGAATCTTCCTGCAGAACAATGCCCCATGTCACAAGACTCGAATTATGATAGTGTGGTTCGATAAGGATAAATTCCAGTTAATGTCCTGGCCATCTCGCAGGATCTTAACTTGATAGAGCACATTTGAGATATCATAAAGCGGCAGCTGAAACGCCCCCATGTTGGAATATCTCGACTTCATGTAACTGCTGCTTAGACATGCAGTACAATTTGTCTCCAGTCACCTACCAAGAGTTTGTAGCATCCATGCCAAGGCAAGTTGCAGCTTTTTTGCCGGCCAAAGGTTGCACCACACGTTATTGAGTGGATGGCTATAATGTTTTTTTTTTCTCTTTTAGAGTAGTGATAATGAACTAGAAGTTTATTCTTAGATTATTTAAAATCCAAAATTTTATTCTTTTCATTGCACAAGGTAAAGCAGAAAGAATGAATGTTTTTTTAGTAAATTACAAAATTATTTATTTAATTAGAAATTTATTGATTGAATTCATACTTAAATAGCATTTGACAAAATTAGGTGTGGAAAATAATATCTCCCATGTGGTGTCCATTATTACTGATGTATTTCTTAAAGACATTCTGGGAAGTTGGCATGCACTCTTCCAAACATTGCTCTGTCCAAACATTATTCGCCATTTCTCGCTGAGGCAGCAACTCTGTGGGATTTTAACTGCTATACGGCGTGCAATCTCTTTGCCAGAAATACTGATCTTACACCGACAACATGCTTTATACTACTCAGACACTTCCCCATTACGTCTACCTGCATATCTGCGCATGTGCTACCGTACATCACCTTACTGAATCTCCTGATTGGTCTTTCTGTCCGCTCTGCCTCTTCGTTCAGCTGATATGCTAATTTTTCGACTTCGTCCTTAATTTTTGCACACCAGTGTATGTACTCTAGTTGCACTGAAATTGGTAAAATTAAATTAATAGTTCAATGAATCATAAAATTTCAGATAACAAATAATGAAGCAATATGCATTTGCATTAAATTGGTGAAACTTGAGTTTATTATTATGTGGAATTTTTCTGTTGTTGTCACCAATAATGTAAAGCCTATTGTAATGCAAATGGTTTGATTTATTGAATTTGGAAGGTCATTTATTGCATGGCCATGTTTTGACAATATCATATATATTTATATATTGTCATGTAATTGATTAGATCTCTCTTTGTATATATTTTCATATCATATATCTTCTCTTCCTCTTCCCTAATAACACTATTTCTAAACTTCATTCATTGCCTTGTAAGACATAAGGTAGGACAAAATGGCTTGGCTATAGTAATTGATTTTAAAAAAGGTTCTGAATATTGAAAAGTTTGGGAGCTCCTGTTCTAGTGCTTTACCGTATTAAATTATCTTAATGTAGTGAACTCATGTTGAGGAGAAAGTTAGAATGAATGAATAATTTTTCTCTTGGATGTTGGTCATAGATCCGTTACTTAGTTTAAGAAAGGAAATTAAGTAAGATAGGCTTTCTGACTTTGTTACTTTTGGTTATGTGACATCTATTCTCTTGGATTCCATTCCGGCAGGAACTGCAGCAGGCTCATCTAATCACTATACCGTCCGGGTGGCTCTAAATGGCAGTGGCTTTTGTTTGGCTAGTGGTTCAAATGATACTCTTATTTTTTTTGTGAGGGGGCAAACAAAGTTTTGTTTACTACAGAACTTTTTTTGTCTTTATATAAATCTAGTTTTCCCATGCCTTCTCCGGGATTCGAACCCGGGCCCTTTGGTATCGCAGTTGGCTTCCCTAACCACTATACCGTCTGGGCGGCTATGCCAAAAGTAATTGTTCTCAAAATCTGCAAAAACTTTCTTAGTTACCTGATAAGCCCACAGTTTCCGGATTAATGCCTCACAACTGGCTTAAACTTCCCTTAAATCTTGTTTCTCTCTTTTCAAGCAAAGACAAGGAAAGAATGCTTTGAGAATCTTTAAAAAGGTACTATATTTACGGCCTCGAGCTTGGCTTTATTGGAACTGCCCATAGAAAAATAAAAGTGAAAGTAACAATTATACCTTAGAAATTAGAAATAAACAGCACTGTTGAATATCACTTCTACAAAGTATGCGCCTTCACAAAAGACCAAAATTTTCTGCATATATATACAGGGTGTATCAGTACAGCGGTGACAAACTTTCAGGAGAGATAGAATACACCTAGACAATGGGAACTCGCATAGGAATGCATGGACGGAAACCCTTTCCTGGTGCTGTAGTGATGACACAAGTCAAGAAAGAAAGGACATAAATCGGGTGAGAAAACATGTTTATTATTCATAGTACAACAAAAACAAAGAGAAAACAGCACAAAGAGACAACGATCAACATCAAAGAAGGTGTTCGAAATTACGACCCAGACCGTGATGCAGGAACCATGCGTCATGCATCTTCCATGCGCCAGAGAAGTGAGGGTCCATCAGGGGTCCGGGGCCTTAATTTCGAATGCCTTCTTTAATGACGATCGTTGTTTGTTTTTGTTTTTATTTGTAGGTTTCTGCTGTAAACATAATAAAAGATGTTTTGTCTCACTGTTTGTGTTTTTCCGTTTTTGCATTTTGTGTCGTCACTACCGCGCCAGGAAAACGTTTCTGACCATTTAATTGCTATGTGATTTCCGATTCGTCTAGGATTACTCTATCTCTCCTGAAAATTTGTCACTGTACTGATACACCCTGCATACATATAATTTATTTACTAAAGTAATATTGATTATATTATCTCCTAATATAAAGTTAAGAGAATGTATCTGAATGAAGTAAGCATTAAAATTTAATCCCGAAAATAATATTTGTAAAGAAACTTGAATTTAAATCATGAAAAATAGAATGGAAACTTTTACAATGAAAATTAATAAACCAAGTAATTATCGTCATTGATCGGAAATTAGTTGACTTTTCAAGGGGAACAAACCAATCCCCGTTCAATTAACAATAATTAATAAATGCGAAAGTGTTTTGCCTTTTACTGAAGTAAGAATGGCAATTTGAGTTAAAGCCAAAGCTGTAAGTCAAACTTTTTAAAAATCTCAAGAAATTATTGCCAAATTAAGTAGGAGTAAATAAATTTATCTGCTGGATAAAGTAGTTGTAAAAATGTTTTATCATTTACTTGAGTAAAGTGTTCCCTGACAACCTTGCTTTCATGCATGCTAATTCAAAGCTATTTTTATAAACAGAATTTAATCTTTGCTATATTTATGAAATAGAATTCAAAGTAATCATTATAAACAATGCAATCTTTGCAAAATTAATCAAATAAAGTACAAGGAAATGTGCAAATTTAAATTTACATAATATACATAAAAGGACAGAATATGAATTAATTAACTTGCATCCTTTCTAGTGGGAGGATGGTGAAGTGTTCGTGTCTGTTTTCTTACTCAGAAGGAGTGTGTTATAGCTATTCGAGATGTAAGGAGCAGCAGTGTGGACCCTTTGAATTATTACAGTCGGTTAACCTTTGAGAAGCTATTTTTGGAATGTGGGAGGGACGTGGTTCCAGAGCTCTTTTGTGAGTATAAATGCGTCTGTTAGAATTTTGATATTATACTGACTAGTGAAAGGAAATTAGTTAATTTCTGGCTAATTGTCGTTGCAGAATGAGGAAGAATAGAAGAAGTAATTTTTATTGCTCGTTAGCAGTAAAAATTACTTCTTCAGACTTAGAGTATGAAAAAAGCTCATTTTTTTAGTAACAACAAAAGGAATAAGAAGAAGCCAGAAGACAAGGAATTTTTACATTATACACAATTATTTCCGTAATTACACTATGTACAAATCCTCCAACTAATAGTAATCTAACTTATACCGCCTTTTCAGATTAACGAACGGCGAAACACGAATTGAGTAATTGAAGAGTTAGGTTTGGAGGCAACTTCCCCTTGATAAGATCTGTCTCCTGACTGCTCAACAATTATTCACTAATTCAAATTCATTTAGTTTTAGAAATTTATTTAAAAAATTTTAGGATTAACTTTTTTTTAATATTATGTATTTTTTCATGGTACTTGCAATTAATTTGCATATTCTCTCAGAATTTAAATGATATTGTAAATTAGTTCGCAGCAATAATTAATCATTTTTATTTGTATGTAATTAAAATTTCATAATTTAAAATTTAGATTTTAACTAATTTGCTTTATACGAATAGAGAATGTGTGTTAAATTTATATATATACACACACACTGCCCTCCAAAAGTTAAGGAACAGCATGCTTTTTAAAGCTCACCATTACTAAAATTTCAGTAGCGTTTAAATTCACAGTTCATGTGCATGAAAGTGACAAAGAAAATATATACAAAAACAATAGCTATCGCTTTTATTTTGTAGAAATGAATATAGTAGTTTTATAGTAGTTGGAGGGAAGAAATGCAAAAATTGTAATCTTTGTTCACGAGTGTTGATTTTCAGTTGTTATTACAGTTTCGTTGACAATATCCAGAAGAGTCTATCAATGTCCAGGAGAAGTTGTTTGCCCTATTTGTTGAGGTAGCGGGCGATCGGATGCATGGAAATGGGGATGTAACAAGATGCTGCTAGACGTCTCAATGTCTCTTGTAATGTGGTCCACCGACTATGGAATCGGTTTGAATTCGAGGATTCTGTGTCTAGAAGACCAGGCAGACCTAGAGTTACAACACCTGCGAGAGACCGTTATTTATGCTCTTTTGGCCAAAGAAGGAGTAAAATTACTGTGCCTCAGCTCATGGCAGATCATTTAGTGGCAATAAGAATTTCAACTACTAC